TTTCCTCGTGGGAATCGCATTGCACTCGTTTTTGTGGGGGAGAAGTTCCACGAACTCTTCTCTCGCATTGCACACAATGTACAGCCTCCGCACAGACAACACAGTCGACATACATTCACACACACACACACATCCCCAGAGAATGCCGCACACACACACACATATATATATATATATATAGTGCGGGTGGTGTCTCGCCGCCAGCTCGTACGACTCCGCTCAGCGGCGCTCCCTCGCTCTCCCTCCCTCCCTCCCGCTGCCGTCTCGGCGACCAAGAACTACAATAATACCAACAAAGCAAATGTGAAACCAAAACAAAAATATGACAACTAGCGAGCATACTAAAAACAAAAAAAAATCCTCAGTCCGTATTCATTCATTCATTCATTCTCTTCCATGCACCCTCCTCGTCCACAGACACACATAGACCTTCTTTCCTTCCTTCCTGCCGCTTGCGTTGCTCTTTATCACTGGCAGACACATGCACAAAATCGATTCACTTCGCGACGGTACTCTCACGCAGGTAATCCTCGATCGAGAAGGGTGTGCCCCACTGCCGGAAGAACGGGTGCTCGAGCAGCTCGCGTGCCGTTGGCCGCTCCTCCGGCACTGGCAACATACTTATGCGGATGAAGTCAATGAATTCCTCACTCAGCACACTCGACCGCGGGAATCGATTAAGGTCTAGCGGCGCCTCCATGCGGTACGCCTGCTCAAACGCGTCGACACAGCCGGTGAAGTCGACGGGGTACTCACCTACAGCGAACTCTGCAAGCGTCATGCCCACCGCCCATATGTCGCTCGGTTTTCCGTGAGTCTTGCCGCGCTGCCGTTCGGGGCTCATATATTTGTTTGTACCAGAGCACTGCAGGTCAGTGGAGGAGTCTGTACCGTTGCTGCCGCCGGGATCGAGCCGAAACATTGGTGGGACACAATCCTCGCTGGTTGTCAAAGCGAATTGCTGCTGCGGGGTGTTGCCGGCACTGATCCGCTCTCCCACCGGGCCACACCGCTGTGATAGACCAAAGTCGCTCAGCTTCACGATACCCTTCTCATTGATGAGAACATTGCCGGGCTTGATGTCCCTATGAATGAAGCCACGCTCGTGCATGTCCCGTACGCCGAGCAGCAGCTGCTCCCCCACCACCGCCACTAGCCGCTCCGGCACACCGGCGCCGTCTTCCACACACGCATCCTTCTTATCGTCGCCGTCACGATGCGGTCTCTTGAGGAGCTTCTGCAAGTGATCCAGGCTTCCGTAGTGCATGTACTCCATCACGAGATCGAGGGCCATGCTTTCCTCCGAGTAGAAGGCGTTGTACACCTTCACCATGAAGGGGCTCCGGTATGCCATGTGGAGAGCCTGCAGTTCCCGCACAACGATGAGCTGCAGCTGACGGAGGCGGGTGCTGACCGGCATGTGCGGGGACTTCGACACCATGGAAGGGCTCCACTGGAGCAGCAGTGGCGAGAGGTCGATGCGTTTGACGGCCAGCAGACGCCCCGTCGGCAAATGATCCGCCACAAAGACGGACGCCGACGCGCCTTCGCCTACCGGGGCCTTGATGTGTAGATCGCCGTAGTGCACCGCATTGACGGGCAGCGGGGCGGAGACGTGGCACTTCGGCGGCAGGTCCACGTACGGTAGTAGACTCATCGGCACCGCGTCCTCTGACCCGCGCGCCGATTGGAAGTTCGAGCTATCACCGTCAGCAATTTCAATAGATGCACTGGAGTCGGCTGCCGCTTCATGTGTAGGGGTGGGGTGGATCGCATGCAACAGTGTACCGCTCTCCCTGCGTGAGCCGACGCGGGCGGTTGGGAACGCGTCTAGTGAGTACGTGATGGGGCTATACAGCGTATCGATGCTCGCAGAGAGCAGTGTGAAGGAGTTGTTCGTCACCGGCTCCACAGGGAGAAACGGCTTCTTGGGCTTGAGCAGCGTCTTCGGGGTATTCCGCAGGGTCACCGAGGCCGGCTTATGCTTGGGGCTCTCGTCGTTGTTTGTATTGAGCAGCAGGATGTTCTGCATGGTAAGACAGCCGTCACGCGACACGCGGAAGGGGCCCGCCAGCAGCACGTGCCTGTCCTCCGACAGCGAGAGCAGCGGCGTCTTCCTTGTGTGACTAACGGCAGCCGGCTGCACCGAGGCCGTCGCCCCGCCGAGGCCGTTGGCAGGACTGCATGGCATCAGCGGTGGTGGTGGTATCGTCAGGCTGGCGCAGCGCCCGTAGAGCGGCGCGTTTGACGGACAATTGGCGGCCCCAAGTGCAAACGTTTGCTGCTGCTGTTGTTGCCGTGCTGTCGTCGTCGTTGGCAGCAGCGTGAACCCGCCCTGCCTTCCCACCGGCGTGTGCTGCTGCGTGGGTGCCAGTGAAGAGGCCGGCGTGGAGAAAAGCGAGGGAGGCCGCTTCTTTTCCCGCGTTGCCATGCCTATGGCGAGGCTATTACTTCTCAGTGCCGTATCGTACACGGGCGCCGCGTCGCCAAAACAGTTCGCCATTGCATCGATGTAGCGTGCCTTCACGGCCTCTCCCACCGGCGCGTCGGTGCTAAACTGATTCTTCCACGGGCGATGCGCGGCACCTTGTGCCACCACCCGCTCCGAAAGCGGCTTGTCATCGGACGGCGACATGTTGTGCGTCATGCGCGTCGCCATTCACGGTGCTTAGGCGAGCGGCGCCTGTCTTTTTTGTCCGTTCCACCGTGTGCTCGTCGTAACCGTGCTTACTACTCTTGGCGCGCTGGTCACGTCTTTCTGTCTCTCTGTGTGTGTGTGTGTGTGACACGCTCTTCCTTGGTGTACGCCTTGTGCGGTGCGAAACGTTTTGAGACACACACGCCCACTCCGAGACCAGAGAGCGAGTGGTGAGTACAGGCCACACTCGTTCTCACTCTTGTTGTTGTTGTCGCCACACCCATTGGTAGAGGGTGCAGGGGCAAAGCGAAGCAGAGAACAAAGAAGAAAGAAAGAGATAGTCCAAGCAGAAATAGCAGCAGGAGTGACCGGATCTAACAACAGAGATCTTCACACACACACACACACACACACATACACACCACCACCGCGAGAAAATCCAAGATGTACGAGTGAAGAAAAAAGGGAATACAGCCGCACACGCACACACAAACGCATCGTCGCCTGAGTCTTTCCCCGCATTTGCTTCTTTTAAATATCAAACTATAAATAGATAAATACATATACGTATATGTATGTATTTATCTATTTGCATTCACAGATGAAATTGCCCACTCCCTTTGCTCGTTCCCTTCTCTCAGAGCTCTAAAACCAGTGCTCTATGACGCGCCGAAAGAACGGTGCCCCGGGCAGAGGTCTGGCTGGCGCCGGTTGCTTCAGACGTGGCATTCAGCACACACAACAAAGACAGACACACCCGGAACAAATGGGAAAACATCGTAAGGCGCACAATCACACACACACACGCACACAGAAAGAAGAATCACCCTTAAAGAACAACAAACAGCCCAGGCACGAGGGGAAGAAGAAGGGAGACATGAAGGCTCTGAAGGAATGCAGAAACCAAACAGAAAGGCAGAATAGTCTGTGCCTTACTTCACCGTGAGGGATATAGGTGAGGAGTAAAAATATTTTTGCTCTTTTCCACGGAGCCTCGTTCATTTTCACACGGAGAAAACCCCTTTACCAAGAGAAAGGAATCAGTGATTTTCCTTAACGGCTCATTTACAACTCACGAAATGGAAGAGCTGAAACCGTCCTTAACCCGCCTCCCGCGCTCCCCTTCGCTAGGTCAAGTGCTTTATGTCCTGACCTCTGGAAATGCCGTCGGCAGGATTATTCTCTGAGGCAACGTAGCGCTCACCTTGTTCTTCTGTAGCACTCTATCTATGGCCGTCGCTCCCCGCAGCAGCACCTCTTAAGTGTATCTTACCTTTTTGCCATTATGTGTATCACAGTCGTGTTACCTACCCATATGTACAAAGGCCCCTTCAGATGGTGGCGGAAAGTCTGCAGGGCCAAGTGGACCGCGCGAGCTTCTGCTTGGGAAATTATGCGGGGAGCTTTGCTCCAAGAGCCGCCGGTGATCAAAACTTCCCACGAATCCTTAAATATTAAGGGGCCCCATCCGTACATGGAGGCGTCTGTGACAAACGTTGCAGAAGTTGGTATCTGGCGTCGGGGGGCTAACTAGTTTATTGGCCAGTAATTCTTTTAGCCATTGCTGAGCCAGGCATATGGCACGTGGGGGTAGACCCGCCCCGTCCTGTGGGCGTAGTAAGCTCCTCTTCAGCCGCGACAAACGTCGACGTATTATATTCAGGAAAAAATAACAGGGTAAAAAAGAGTTTCCCCGTACGCCGGCCGCGCCCATCATGCTGGATACCGTACCTTCCATGTCTTGTGCCGAAGGGGGTGTGAAATGATTGCGCGTCCCGTAAGCGGCCCAAAGTCTTTTGGCTTAACGATACCTTCTGTTAAACATGATTAAAGCGCACTCCTATGAAATCATATTTCTGACAAGAATACTGCTGCTCGCCGAATGTGGCGTCGCACTGACCTATGCTCTTCGATATGCGTTTTCCCCACTGTCTCAGCAGGGATAATGGCCCACTGATACGTATGCTATCAATGCACACGTGAAACCGAATTCCAAGCGGTGCTGCTTACCGTGGCTCTGCGACCCGGGGATCCCCCGCCAAAACCCGCGTGATGGTGTGCAGAATCTCGGGACTGCATTTGTGCCCCGTTGGACGGTGAGTTAATTCGACGAGCTCGCCAGATTCTGTCCGGCACCGAAAATTTGCACGTACGGCTTTTGGCAAAGCGACTTGGAAAACGAAGCCTTTAAATCAAGCAGTGTGGATGCTTCATCAAAAACCGCGCTCAGATACAGGGAAATATATCTCGAGGGTAATCTCTGCTTCGCAATCCTTTTCGCCGTTCATTTCCTTCGACCACGCGATAAATAACCGCCGCCGACCTGTTGGTTTATCCCCTACCACCGCGAACGGCACCACCCATCCTGCGGCGCGATGTGCCGAAGCCGTGCTGATGGCGCCTGCCTTTTTCATGAGATGTGCGTCCTTCTCTGAAACACGCAAATTTCATTCGCGAGCCAGCTTGGGCGCCGTTGGTGAGCTATGCATGACACCCCACACCGCGCAAAAATCCGCCGGCGTGCCTCGGCATTGGGCCTGCATGTGGACCCAAGGAAGGGGCAAAGTGCCCACGCACGCCTGCCACAACGGCAAACCCTCTTCCCCTTCACGTGTGGCTACCCTTGTTCTGCGTGTGCGTCGCAAAACGTTGTGACTCTGGAATAAGGGTTAAACTCCTTCCTGCTCCGGAACAGGTTGGATTCACGGTTGGCTGGTCCACTCCTCTCGGTGTGTCACATCCACGGCGTTGACTCCGCGGACTTGGTGACCGTCGCGGTTCAACAGCCCAGATATTGCACTGTGCTCCGAGGGGGTTCTAGTGGGTCCGCGTGTTTTCCCAGTTGCGCCAACAAGCGGGGGCCCAGGTCGTATTCCACCACGGCCGCTGCCGCGTGCGCCAGCGCTCCTCTTTTGATAGAATGGGCTGTCATTCCGTATGGGCGGAGGATATTTTCCACGCCGCTGGTTGTTGTTTCCGCAAGTTTTTCGTCGTCGCCCATGTCCTTGAGCACCGCGCAAACCCTTTTAGAGCCACACCCTCATGTAACCACATGCCGTGCCGCTCTGTGTGGGTCGTTCTTGTGCGTTTTGGGGAGTGCCCCCCCAGTCGACGATTATGGCCCTTTTGTTGCATGGATGCTCCACAAGATATTTCTTCTTGAGAAGTGCGATTTCGCCCCAGCGACAGGTGGTCACCTAAGCCAGCCTTAAAGCAACGCGGTCCCTCTCTTCCGCCAACGTGTTGTTGACAATGTCGAGCTGCCAATGCAACATGGGGCGTGGCTGTTTTATGGGATCGCCAGCCGCAGACTCGCGGAGGCCGGTGAGAAACATATTCGTCGGCGCTCGCCATGCGGCTAACAGAGACGCCAACGTTCTTGTATAGTGAATGGCGCCGCTCTTGGCCAACTGAAGGCTTACAATAAATGAGGGAACGACTTCTTCCCTCGTTCCCAAGTTGTATGGGTCCACATGCGCATTGCATACTTGTTCGCCTCGGATGCGAGGGCCACGACCTGTACAGGTCGTGGCTCGGAGCGGGAATAAAGGTGACGTTGTTCACCAATTGAAGGTGGCTCTTGAGCAATATAGGTGCGCCCTCAGTCTTGTCGAGCCCAGGATGCCCCAAGGGGCCTATGCATCGGTGACTCCATACACTTCTGTGCCGGTGGAAAAGCGCTGGGCCCACGTCTATCCTCGTGATGGGTACAAGGCGCGATGATTCGGCCTCTGGTAAAATTTCTCGCGCTACACCGACAAGGATGTAAGGATCCGCATAATCCGAGGGCCCCGGAATTTATTGATTCCGGGGCCGATGCTCGTTTTGTTTCCCCTTCGTGTATGGGCGTGCTTCATGTACGTGGCAGGTACTGCTGTAATGGCCCAACTTCCCGCATCGATAACGCCGTGCTTTGTTCGGTCGAGGGGCGATGTGCTCCTTCTTGGTTTTGAGCACCGCCTGTGCGATGGGACCATCCTTCAGTAAAGGCTCTTCCAAAGCCTCCCTTATACCTTGCATTCGCACCCCGGGGTTGCTGCTGACGGCGTAAAGGGGTCACAAATTGAGATATAGCTTTCGACCCAATCGAGTCATCTCGGAGGTGGGTCCCGTTTCTCTCATGCCGTACGCCCAAGATTGAAAAA